CGATTTTTTTTTCTCAAAAGCTCTGTCCGGTTGTGGGAGATCACTCCAATCCATTTCAAACACCAATTTTCTCAAGAAAAAGTAATTAATCTCCCCATAAATCATTTACAGAACAGTACTTCATCCTCATTTGGGGCATAAATTCCCAGGACCAAAAGTCTTAGCAGCTCTCAAATTAATGTCCACCATAAATGAATCTGCTGTGTGCGTCAGGCAGTACAAGTTCTGGTTTTAGTTGGGGATTAATATACAATTAATTTCAATTAATTAATATACAGTTTTTTTCTTTCTTCCTGCTGAAATAAATTCTTTCCCTGCATTTGTATAAAGTGTCCCTTTTTTAAGAAGAAAAGAAATGTAGGCAAATTATATCTTGTTTTAATCTTTATCAAATTATGATTTTTTCCCTTTTCTGTGTGGTGAGGAGCGCTTGCTCCATTTATTATTCCATTTTATCCATTTGTAATCCATAATCCATAAAACCTTTAGTAAAATCAATAGCCGTAGTGCCTCACTTGGTATCCTCCCATTTCAGTTTCCCACGAAAACTCTTCTAAGCTGAAATTCAATTCACTTTGTGCTTGTTGAAATTAAGACCTGACTGAGATCTTTCCCTCCCACCCGGGTCAGCCTGACAACAACAAAAAAAGGGCTGCAAAATCTTTTTTTATTTGTTTGTTTTTTTGCACATTATTCTTAGATGTGCTTAAGGCATCTCAATGCCCTTATTTCTAAATCTCTGCTGAACTACCGATCCCCCATCTCGGCTTCTCTCTGAATCCTGTTCAGCCGAAACAACATTTCCTTCCTCTGTTTCCTTGTTTATTCTTGTTTAGAAGTTGTTTGTAGTCCTTTCCTTTATGAGGACCGGAGAGGTCATGGATCAGTGGTGAAGGTGAACCGTGAAGTCCTGCTGGGTGTGTTTAATTTGTGGCCGAAACTGTTTACAAGGCTCAAAAATAGGAGAACTGGTGGTAGAAATAGTCCTGCATTTACCACCATAATGGAGCCTGGAATTTCCATAACTCACGATGGTTGTTTATTGAGGCACTCATGGACCAGATCTGATTTTATGACTTGTCTGGATGGTCGTATATTGAGGCACCCATGGGACCAGATCTGATTTTATGACTTAAGTCAGGAAGGTCATGAGCTTCCCTGAAGCCTTCGGAGCACAAAAAACCTCTATGAGCAAACCTGAAGTTCAGGAACGGACTTCCGCTTTGCTCGGAGGGTCGTTTTGACTGCTCCGGAGGCGAAGCAGGGAAGCCTCCTGAAGGTCACTGAAGCCTCCAGAGGGCTCCCGGAGGGGTGGGGAGCCTGTTTTTCGCCCTCCTCAGACTCCTATGAAGCCTCTGGAGCCTGGGGAGGGTGAAAAAAGCATGCAAAAAATGGGGGGGGGTTTTGTTTCCCGTCTGTAGTGCATGCATGCACACTGGGGTGTGTGTCGCACATTGCATTATGGGTGTGGCACGCCCGCATGCGACCCCCCTGCACTCCCCTAACTTATGGCACGCGAGCCAAAAAAGGTTTGCCACCTCTGCCCTATACCATTCAGGACAAATGGCTGTCCAGTCTCTTCTTAAAAGGCTCCAGTAATAGAGCACCCACAACTTCCTGTGGCAAGCCGTTCCACTGGTTAATTGTCCTCAATGTCCTGAAATTCCTTCTTAATTCCAGGTTGCTTCTCTCCTTGATTAGTTTCCATCTGATGTTTCTTGTCCCGCCTTCAGATGCTTTGGAAAATAGGTTGACACCCCCCCCCCTTCTTTGTGGCAGCCCGTCAAATACTTCAGCAGATCTTTCACCCCCCTTATCTTATCTTCTCCTGACTTTCCTGATAGTCTGTCCAGCGAAATTGCTGGTGCCTGGAACTGCTTTCCTTTGCATATTTGTCAACGAGAATTATATTTTAGTGTCCTATCAATCCCATCAACGGGAGTGCAGATCAGCTAAACAGTAGCTGGGCTTTAAAAAAAAATTAAACAAGGGTCTGCACTTTCTCCCACCCCCCTTCTCTCCCCCCCCCAAGGCAGGAGCAATTAAATGATGGAGTTGTGTGTGACCTCATGGGAATAAATCTGAGTTTCAGACTTGGGTTTATTTCATTCTGGAATGTGACATTGGATCCTTTGCACTAATCATGATTAAAAAGGCTTGATTTATATCCCCCTTCCAGTCAGGAGAAGATTTCTGATTAGGGGAGGGGGGAGAGGAGGAGAAAAAAGCAATTGGATTTTGTGTGAGAGAAATGCCGTGCTTCCCCCTTCCTCAATTCCCCATTCAGCCTCTTGCACCAAAATGTTGTTTTCTGACGATTGCAAAATTCCATCCTGTCTGAGTACAGGACGTTTTGCTAATCGCTCAGGAAGGGAAAATGAGAAGTTGTACAGTGGGGAAAAGGTTGATTTTAAGCCAGTTTCTCCCCCCGCTAATTTTAAAAATATTCTTGCCCTTCTGATGAAAGAAGCTTTTTAAAAAATCAAATAAATAAAAAAGGTGTGAGTTATAAAGGCCACACAGGTAGTGCTTGACTTACTATTCATTTGGTGGCTCTTCAAAGCTCCCGTGACACTGGAAAAAAGTGACTTACGACTGTTTTCCACTCTTACGACAGTTCCTGCATCCCAATAGCTACATGGTCAAAATTCAGATGCTTGACAACCGGCTTGTTTTTATGACGGTTGCAGTGACCCAGGATCAGTTCATTTAGTGACTGTTCAAAGTTACAACAGCACTGAAAAAAAGTGACTTGTGGCCATTTTTCACACTTCTGGCAGTTGCTGCATCCCCAGGATCAAAATTTAGACGCTTGGCAACTGACTCATATTTATGACGGTTGCAATGTCCCGGGGTCATGTGGTCCTCTTTTCCAATTTTCTGACCAGCAAAGTCAATGGGGAAGCCAGATTCACTTAACAACCATGTTCCTAACTTCACAACTGCAGTGATTCGCTTAACAGCTGCGGCAAGAAAGGTCTTAAAAGGGAGCAAAACTCACTTAACAGCTGTCTCACTTAGCAACAGAAACATTGGGCTCAGTTGCTGTCGGTCGAGGACTACCTGTATGGTTTTCAACCACTCCTCATTCCAAGCCTTGGGCCAGCCAGAAGCAAAGGTCTCACTCCAGTCTTCTCCCTTTCCCAATTTGTTCCACAAATCCCTTGAAAAAAGAAATATTCACAGTGTGGTTCCTAAAAGTTTACCCATGCTGCAAATTAGCTGAATAAAAAGGAGGACGTTAGAAATCAAAAAAAGCCTACCTACTTTTCCAAGTAGTTCCTTTTTTTTCTTTCTTTTTTAAAGAGTTATAAATACATTGCCCAGAGGGTCATTGGTTGCCCTCTCCTCTCTTTGGAAGAGCTTTATAGCTCTTGCTGCCTTAAGAAAGTTCAAAAGTTTCTTAAAGATCCATCTCATCCAGGGCACCCTTTTTTTGAACTATTACCGTCTGGCAGACGGTACAGGACAATAAAAACAAATAGGCTGAAAAACAGCTTCTATCCCGGGGCAGTCACTATATTGAATTCTACTGTACAGTGCAATATTAATGCAATATCAGGGGTTTTCAATTCAATTGTATGGAATGTGAAGGATGTGTCTTTTTGTGTTTAGTTTTCTAGCTTTCTTATGTATGATGTGCACTGAAGATGGCATTTAATTTCATTGTGGAAGGTGCAATGGCAAAGTAAAGTAAAAGTAAAGTAAAGCAAATAGCCCTGCACTGGAAATCTTAATGTTAGCCATTAAGCTGAAAGGCAGAAACTTTTTTTATACTATAAAATAATGGAATGTACAAATTCAAATTGAATTTGAAATGTCTCAATACGACACATAGCTTTAATTATACAATTCAAGCAGTTCTATGTTTAATAACTTTCTAAATTACCATTTTAACATTGACGTGACCTCCTTATCTTTAAAAGTTTACCATATCCGAATCTACCATAGTGTTTCTCGTTTACATTGCAAAATGCCACAACACCCCACTCTGGAAAGAAAAACAGAAGCGGTGAAGTCACCTGGTTCTTGGTTCAACACAGAGAAACTGTTCTTATGTCTCCTTAGGCAAACAAAGCACCATAAAAATATTCTGGCACAGACAGGTTGGTTAAGAAAGGCTTGGAGAAGAATAGAAACGTAGACTCATAAGGTCCCAGAGGTGCTTTTTCAGGAGGCAATTGGACTTTTTTTGAAGATGTTCCTCTTCTCATCCAAGAAGCTTCTGACAGGATAGTGGGGAATGGTCTCCAAAAGAAAAAACAACAACAATGAAGTCGAGTTGCCTCCTGAAAAAGCACCTGACCATAGGGACCTCCAAAGTTCTTTGTGATTCTGATTCTGAATTGCACAACACATCCAGATTTCTCTTTGTGCTGCCTTTTGCGTTGCACTGACGAATGTGGCTAGAGTTTAGTGTGCAAGCCACAAGGACGAGAGCTTTTTCATTTTCATTCTCTCTCTCTCTCTCTCTCCTCCCCCTCCCTTCCTGGGGGGTGGGGGAAGGCAAAAACACCCCCGTGTTTTGGTTCTCCGGCTGTGATGGGCAACTGAGAAAGCCAGGTGTCCATTCCGTCCTCCCCTTGCCGCTTCCCAAGGTCACGAGACTCTCCCAGGCCAATTCCCTGACCAGCCTGTTTTCTTTCCCGCAGAAAAGAACGGCCTGTCGTTTATCGAAACCTCTGCTTTGGACTCGACAAATGTGGAAGCTGCTTTCCAGACCATCCTGACTGGTGAGTGGGGCCTTAGAGGCCATGTAGAGGTGAGGTCCTTGTCCCTCAAGTTCTTAAAAAGGGTCTGACTGGCTGATTTGGGCCTTCAAAGGTGGCTTTAGTGCTTGGGTTGAAGGACCAGCCTCAGGACTGAAGGACCCCTTCCTGAATGAGGAATGCTTTGGGAGAAATTCTGCTCGCCTCTTGCCACTCTCCATCACTCATCGCTGCTGTTCTCCAATGTACAGTAGTTCCCTCTGAAAGAAGAAATGAAATGTTAGAAAATGAATGTAACATTCATTCTAAATGTTAGAATGAAAAGGAGAAGGAAGTGTTACCTCCACTTTATAATGCCTTGGTAAGGCCACACTTGGAATTCTCAGTTTTGGTCGCCACGATGTAGAAAAGATGTGGAGACTCTAGAAAGAGTGCAGAGAAGAGCAACAAACATGATTAGGGGACTGGAGACTAAAACATATGAAGAACGGTTGCAGGAACTGGGTATGTCTAGTTTAATGAAAAGAAGGACTAGGGGAGACATCTCAGGGGCTGCCATAAAGAAGAGGAAGTCAAGCTATTCTCCAAAGCACCTGATGGCAGGACAAGAA